ACAGCTGTCCAAAAGACAATCATTGACACCTTGCACAAGGAGGGCAAGACACAAAAGGTGATTGCTAAAGAAGCTGGCTGTTCGCAGAGCTCTGTGTCCAAGCACATTAACAGACAGGCGAAGGGACGGAAAAAATGTGGTAGAAAAAAGTGTACAAGCTCTAGGGATAACCGCACCCTGCAGAGAATTGTGACGACAAACCCATTCAAAAATGTGGGGGAGATCCACAAAGAGTGGACTGCAGCTGGAGTCAGCGCTTCAAGAACCACCACGAGGAGACTCATGAAAGACATGGGATTCAGGTGTCGCATTCCGTGTGTCAAGCCACTCTTGAACAAGAAACAGCGCAAGAAGCGTCTCGCCTGGGCCAAGGACAAAAAGGACTGGACTGATGCTGAGTGGTCCAAAGTTATGTTTTCTGATGAAAGCAAGTTCTGCATTTCCTTTGGAAATCAAGGACCCAGAGTCTGGAGGAAGAGCGGAGAAGCACAGAATCCACGTTGCATGAGGTCCAGTGTAAAGTTTCCACCGTCAGTGATGGTGTGGGGTGCCATGTCATCTGCCGGTGTTGGCCCACTCTGTTTCCTGAGGTCCAGGGTCAATGCAGCCGTCTACCAGGAAGTTTTAGAGCACTTCATGCTTCCTGCTGCTGACCAACTTTATGGGGATGCAGACTTCACCTTTCAACAGGACTTGGCACCTGCACACAGTGCCAAAACCACCAGCACCTGGTTCAAGGACCATGGTATCCCTGTCCTTGATTGGCCAGCAAACTCGCCTGACCTTAACCCCATAGAAAATCTATGGGGTATTGTGAAGCGGAGGATGCAATACGCTAGACCCAACAATGCAGAGGAGCTGAAGACGACTATCAGAGCAACCTGGGCTCTCATAACACCTGAGCAGTGCCACAGACTGATCGAGTCCATGCCACGCCGCATTACTGCAGTTATTGAGGCAAAAGGAGCCCCGACTAAGTATTGAGTGCTATACATGCACATTCTTTTCATGTTCATTCTTTTCAGTTGGCCAACATTAGAGAAACAAACATTTTTTCATTGGCCTTTAGAATATTCTAATTTTCTGAGATACCAGATTTGATGTTTTCATTGGTTGTCACCTATAAATATCAAAATTAAACGTAATAAACATTGGAAATACATTGGTCTGTGTGCATTGCATGAATATAATGTACAAGTTTCACGTTTTGAATGGAATTACTGAAATATTTTCAACCTTTTGATGATATTCTAATTTACTGGCCAGCACCTGTAGGGCTGCCTGGTCAGGCTAATATTGAAGACCCCCTGCTGCCATACTCTAATTAGCAAATAACTCAAGTAACTCTGATTTCCCCTTTTTTCTTTCTTTACTTTTTTACACCTGCAAAAGCCTTTAAATGGTCTCTCAGTCTAGTTCTGTAGGCTACACAATCATGGGGAAGACTGCTGACCTGACAGGTGTCCTAAAGACAACCATTGACACCTTCCACAAGGAGGGCAAGACCAAAAAAGTAATTTCTAAAGAGGCTAGCTGTTCACAGCTCTGTGTCCAAGCACAGAGGTGAAGGGGAGGACAAGATGTGGTAGAACAAAGTGTACAAGCAATGTAACCACACCCTGGAGAGGATTGTGAAACAAAACCCATTCATAAATGTGGAAGAGATCCACGAAGAGTGGACTGCAGCTGGAGAACCACCACACACAGACGTATGCAAGACATGAGTTTCAGCTGTCTTATTCCTCGTGTCAAGCCACTCTTGAGCAAGAGACAGCGTCAGAAGTGTCTCCCCTGGACTAAAGACAAAAAGGACTGGACTGCTGCTGAGTGGTCCACAGTTATGTTCTCTGATTAAAGTAAACTGTGCATTTCCTTTGGAAATCAAGGTTCCAGAAGAATCCACTTTGCTTGAGGTCCAGTATGAAGTTTCCAGTTGGGGTGCCATGTCATCTGCTGGTGCTGGTCTATTGTGTTTTCTCAGGTCCAAAGTCTATGCAGCCGTCTACCAGGAAGTTTTAGTGCACTTCATGCTTCCTGCTGCTGACCAACTTCATGGAGATGCAGATTTTATTTACTTTTTGTGGACAGTTGTCCTTTTCCAAAGGTGCTGGCATCTGAATACCATCCAATCGTTATATCTGATCTCTCACCACTCAGTGTAGATGTCAAGCGCATGGCCCATTTTTCTTCATCCTCACCCTGGAGGTCTAATTCTTCATTACTTTCAGATGACACTTTTGTCAGCTTTATTAAATCCACATTTGACGACTTTATGACATTTAATGACAACAGCACTATCAAGAGGTTTTTATGGGAAACTTTTGAAGCATAAGGGTGCAGCCAAATAATCTCTTTCTCTGCTCATTCTAGTAAAGATCAAAAAGCCAAACTCCAAAATTTGACGGTACAAATTTGTTGATATAGGCCGACAAGTTTTAACTAATCCCACTCCGGATTTACATAAAAGACGACATGATTTACTGACTGAATTTGACTTACTCTCTACTGCAGATGCTTAACGACTGTTACTTTGTACATGCACAACGTATAATGACCATGGGGATGAACCTAGTAGTCTCTTGGCCCACCCAGGCTCCCTTTCGATTTATATCTCAAGTTAAAGACACAGCGGGCAATATGATCTCCGAGTTCACTTTGTATACTTCTGAATCTACTGCTAATCTCTCCGAAGTGGGTTTGCTTTTTACTCTTGAGATGCCCACTGTTGATCCTGCTGTAAGCTGAGCAGTTGGATGCACCACTTTGGTTAGACTTAAAGGAGCATGGGGCAGGATGAAGAAACGAAACTCATTAACGACGCACTCGGCGCTGTGAGTAACTGCAGCCCGGCACGAGAGCGCGCACAAACTCTTCACTAGAAAAAAAAAAGTTACAGTGATGTACGGCCAGAGTGCGGCTCAAACAAGACACCGTGTCGAGCGATGAAGTAAGTAACATTGTTACTTTAGTCTAATATTTGTAAAGTTCCATGACAACATTAGCATTTTAATTTAGCCATGACACTCGTGATGTAAAGCAAATGCTCCTTCCTAAGAAATATTCATAAGCCAGTTTTGTGACTGGTTAGCAAGACAGTAACATGATGCTACTTTATCAGCATAAGGCTTTGTGGCTGCAGGTGATTTCTGATGTTTTTAGACCAATTACAGTTATTATTTTGCACTAAGCTTACTAACAAGCTAATGTTATTGTTTATGCATCATGTAAGAACATCCAATTTCAAGTCACTGACATCATTTGTGAAACCAATTTCATTACAGGACAGGCATCACAACAATGTAAATAAGAACATAAATATCAATGTTTAGTTCAAAAATGCATCAAAATAAAATCATAATATCAGCAAGACCTACAGGGTAATAGTCATTTTTATCATTACTGTCATTGATTTTCAGGAATTCACATTGGAAGGAGTGATGGAAGACTGTTCAGATGGAGTGTGCCCGAGCCTGCCACAGACTTTGATGTGTCGTGGGAAAGTCTGAGACCAGGGGCTAAAGGAAAGGGGAGAGGAAAAGGTCACTCCGAGGGTCGGGGAAGGACACGCTCAAGGGGTGAGGGCAGCAGGTTGAGGTCCAGAGCTCCTTCAAGAGGACCAGGGCGCCGGGGTAGGCAGCGAACAGCTTTCAAAGAAGAGGACCGAGACCGGCTTGCACAGCTGAGAGCTGCCAGTATAGCTGAGATGCAGGTTGGTTGTAGCCATTTGTGTAAAAAAATAAAATAAAATAATAGAGATGCCAAAAACGAAAACATCACTCACTGGAGATATGAATCTAGTCATGTAAACATATGTTCTTTAATTCCTAGACAGCTTTACAACACCTGAGCCAGGAGGAGAGAGATTATATTCTCGAGAGAGTGGTGACCCGTCTTCCAGGGGTGATGCTGGATATCCTGGAGTTTCGGCAAGAGACGCCAGGACACCATCTTCCTGACTGAGGGCACCCTAACCCAAAAATCCAAACCGTTTATCTACAACTACAGTAGTTCCAAAACAGCACAATACCTCAAAATAACTTTAGCTGAAGACAGCATTTTCACCCAAAAATAAACAAACAGTTTGTGCAATATATTTATTTTTATTTATGTACAAAAAAACAGTTCTGTTATTTGCATTTGTACATAGTATTTTTTCTTAATTTCTGATAAATCTGTGTGCATGAAAGAAGTCATTCCTGTCTCTTGATGCTTCACGTAGCTGGGGCCTTTATGGAGAGAGAACAGTAGCATTAGATCATACATAGATTACATGAGAATGCAGTTCTGGAAACTCTCCAGTTCTGAAGTTGACCTGTAAAAAAACAAAAGCTACAACTTTATAGATTGTTAGGAATCACACTTTTGATTGCCTTTTCACCCCCAATTGTCATTTCTATATGTAAATTTTCAGCTTTGATATTGACACTTTAGCTTTTTTGCTTATGAAAATGTTATTAATATACCTAAAGGTCAGATTGGTGGCATCCTTCAACCAGCGTCTGTTGAACATGATTCTTTGAAGAGCCTCGTGTGGTGGAGATCCTGGCACCATGAGCTCTTTATCACTGGTCGTTGCATCAAGTGGTCCATGGTCACATTTGCCACGGGTCCATTCATGCTTCCCTGTGACATGGTGAAGAACACCCACCCACATATCCTAACAGAAAAGATAAGTTTTATTTGAAAACTTTACATGTGACAGAAGCGCTCACCAACAGAAACACGAGAGCTGGCACTATTATGAAAAGAAAGGTAATTATGTCAATGTGCATTGTTGTCTTGTTGTCCAAAAGATGTCACAATACTTACATTAAACATATCACGATGTTGTGCTTTCTGGCAAATGTACCAAAATTGGTTGAAGATGTCATTCAGCCACACAAGTAGGATGGAAATTCCCTTTAGGATCCCAGCTTGTGAACATGGGTAAAACAACAATTCCATCTTTTAGTTCTTTTTAAAACATAGAAGGGTTTTATTTACCTGCAACGTTTTGTTTGCGGCTGCAAACTTCATCAGCCTGACAAAGTTTTCATAACAGTTCTATTCTGTTATGAAAACAATAAATAAAAGTAGAATTAATATATTGTTTTAAGACTTTGGAGTTTAAAAAAAGAGTGTAGATAAGAATAGGGCTGGGCAATATGGCCTCAAATCTATATTGCGATATAATCTGAAGCATGTTCAGTAACGATACATTGCGATATATTTTTTCATCTGTTTATAGATGTCAAATTGACATGCTTTTAGATATCCTCATGTGGCAAATATATGCCACTTGAGGCATATAGGCCTCCTCCTCCGCCCACTCCATGCTTGCAGTCACCGCCATTCTGTTGTCCCATTGTCAGCAGGGTGCACATCTTAGTGACGTCATGTGTTATCACAATATCGCCGTATTGCGATATAGCCAAAAACTATCATTACCCAATTTTATATCATTTCTACCTTATATCGTTTATATTGCCCACCCCTAGATAAGAAGACATTGCAACTCACACACTGTTGAGTAAGTTGTTTGCTTGGTCCTCATCAATTTGGACTGCATCCGTAGCTAGATCCATGGATTTGAAACTACAGACAACACAATAATATTTGTTGTACATAAAGATAAATACTGGAACTTACCTGAAATGGTACTGATTCTAAAGGGATAAATGTGGAGCCTAATACATCTGTCATTAATTATTTCTGCAAATAACAACAATCTGCTGTGAACTGACACTTCACAACATAAATAAATATATATAATGACCTATATTTGCTTATCTATTGTGTTTTTATCTTTTTTGCACAGCAGTAATTTCCTGCGTATATGGCAAAACTTCTCATGAACAAATTTACCTTTCTTCAAAAGGATCCAAATCTAGGTCATCAGCGCCTCAACACCAGCCATTAGAAAATCTTCCCTGTAAAGATAATGTCAGAAGTGTTTGGTGGTGTGATGTTAGTTCTGAACTAAGTGTGGATATGCAAGGTGTAATTTAATGTATATATCATAGCACAAAAACGTGAATATTTGTTTTAGAGAAAAGATACTAACCCCTCAGACACAGGTTCAGTTGGAGATAATCGATGCGACATTTTAGCTGCTGTTCGCTTACTGGGTGTTGAGGTTGACTGCACATTACCTCCCTGAATTGCAGTTTCAGGAGCCTGCTTCTCCTGGTAGCTGGAAAACACATTTTTAAGCAAAAATGTCAACAAGTTGGTTGAGACTCTACACCTTCTGTTTACATAGATCAATAATGGCTAAGCTTCTTTACCTGTGGCACAACTAGTAATATGAAAATGCATGTCAGTCATAAAAAAATTTATTTATCATTTTCACAAACATATTTTATTCTGACCTACATTCAACTGGACAAATTTAGAAAAATAAACACAAACTTCTGCACAACTTTACTTTTAGTCAAACGTGTTGTTATGGCTGACTTATTATTTATTCTTATGAATCCTAATTTTATTTATTCTCAGCAATAGCGCTAGGGAAATATATTCCGATGGGGTTCTGTTACACAAACCCCACGAATAACATTATTTACTAAAGTAACAGTCCTGCTTAGAGGTTGGACTGTAGATCAAATATGACATAATTCTAAAGACTCATCTTTCGTTTGGAAAATGTCCGTTCTCTTCTACAAACTGAAGCGTGATCGCAGCTAACATGCTAACGCACGCTAGCTCTCTCCGGCTGAGCGGTGACGTCATCAAATCAAGCTCTGTTTACTTTTCTCGTCAGAATAAACGGAGCATCCATTTATCTCCAAACACATGCGGCGTGTCGTCCACAAAACGTAGAAGTGATCCGGTAACTCCTTGGTTGCTTTTAGCTTTTTCAAACTGATCAGGAAGCCATATGCTAAACACCATTAGCTCAGATAAGTTTCTTGTTCATCTGCACAGAGATTTGTTAAGATTACCTAAATCAGCATTATCTAAATCCATAAGTTTTATTTTATTTTCTCAAATTGTGCAGATACAGCTCTGATGTTTACCTACTCGTTACTGAAACCTACAGCAGAAATAAGGAGACCAACACTTACCTGGTCACTAGAAAATGTGCCATGTCCGCATCCTTTTTCAGGCCCAAATCCAGTTGAAGCAGCCTCCATTCTTCCAGAGCGTAACCAATAGATATTCGGGTCCCTGACCGACTTTTATCATATTTTCTTTTTGACTCTCGAGATGCCGCTGATAAAACCTTCTTCTTTGTGCCACTCTTTAGTGGACTTTGAGTTGCGCTTGGTCGTTTGCTAGTTGTAGAATCCATTTCCAGAGTTCTTCCTCTTCTGTTTGGGGTTTTAACGTGGCTAGTAGTGAAAGACGCGTTACCGCCACCTAGCAAGCTTCCAAATGTTTTTCCGGGTTTGAACCTTGTCGAGAACGCGCTTGAAGCGTCAATTAACGTCACATCCGTAAAACAGCGCGGGAAATTCGGATCAGGAATGTTTTGCATTTTGCAGCACACAGCCTGATTAACAAAATGGAATGATAAACTGGTTTGATCATTCTTTTTAGTTTAAAATGCTTCATCACCCATAAGCTTCTCAAGAATGAACATGTACTTTTTGTTTTTGGACAATTCCTGCCCCATGCTCCTTTAAACATGCAATTAACTCATTCACTGCCGGCCGTTTGCTGATCAGAAAAGCCCTTCACTGCAAGCATTTTTCAGCATTTTTACTGTTTTTTTAAGAGTCACAGAACGTTGCACGCTAGGATGATGTCAGCGCTAAAACTACCAAAGCAAAGAGTAGACTCACCTCTTACATCAGGAAGAATCCACACGTTAAGAGCATTATCCGTTCTTTCAAAATTTGTTGTCGAATGATGATTGGCAGAAGCCTTTCCGATTCTTTTTTGTGGGAGCTGACTCACCGTGCCAGAGCGTCGTTTTCCGACTGCCACTGTAAAACGGCAATTTCACAGAATTCTGACCTTTACCATTTTCCCCTCACCCCCATCCGAACCGCTACTGTCTTACACATGCAAAACTTTGTTTCTAGCTGTAACGTTCCAATCCAACACGGTTAATGGGAAGTTTGGAATGAGAAACTGGGTTAAGGTTAGGATGGGGCTGAGGGGAAGGTTAAATAGTTAGAGGTTTAATGTTGGTGAAATGTGCGTTTTCCCGTGGGTGTCGGAAACCAACGCTCTGGCACAGCACACCAGAAACAAACGCTTGGTTCCCAGCGTCATTTTTCGATGCTTCGGGTGTGAGAATGTATTCGTTATACTCATGTCCGCAACTCCATGGGTTCTGGAGCCAGTTTTGAATCGTCCTTTCTGGGGCTATCGGGACCCAAGTCTGCATGAACCCCTTCCTAGCCATTTTTGGGCTTCCAGTTTATACCACAAATTCTAAAATGTTAGTCTTTACCTCAATTTTAGCCAGATGTTGCATATTACTCTTTTGTTTCATTTAGTTTCAATCCGTTATGTCGTTTCTTAAATTACAAAAAATAGGCCTCACAACAAAGGGTGCTTTTAATTTTAAGGGTAGTGTTTTGTCTTGTTGTTATAAAAGAAAAGAAAAAATGTACATGTTAGAGGAAGCATTTGTTTTTTTTTTTACCGTGTCCTGTCTGGCTGTGAAGCAAGCAGAATTGATGTCTGAATGCTGGTAACAAGCCTTACAGATTTATTCTCAGGTGGAGCATCAAAGCGTCTGCTTTTAATGTCACGCCTGATACTTCAAATTTCATTGTTATTGTTTTTGAATGCTTTGTAATTCCGACCAGACATGGAGACAGAGGTGAAAGAGAAAGGAAAAGACAAATGGTGGGAAGAGAGAGAGAAGGGGGGGGGGGGGGGTGGTCCACAAAAATAAACAGTAATGAACAAGAGTCTGCTTCTAGACCTGCAGAAAGAGAAGAGCAGAAAAAAATGGGACACACAGCAATACATCAGGAGCAAGCTATCACTGCGTCAACGTGATGATGAAATATAAAATCAACGTTGTTTAACTGAACAATCACACGATAATAAATCACAGTGCATTTAGTGGCAACGACAGCCTTGAGACAAGTGTTGAACGTGCCCAAGCCAATACTTTTGAGAGCACCATGTGAGCACCTGTGTGTGTACACACGCTTGTTTATGTAAGGTTTCTCTATAGGAGCGTCCAATAGAGAGTGTGAGGGACCACAGATCTGCCCCCCAAAGATGCGTAGGAGACGGGGGAAGCATTTGTGTAACAGGTGTGTTTGTATTGTTTCTCTTTCAATAAACAGAAGAAAAAAAGTCAGGTTTGTTGTTTTCAAACATTAGATCCGATATTTTCCTCTTGATCCCAATACTTTAAAAATCACGTGAATGGATGGGAACATCCTTAGAATAAACCTAATATACAAGTTACACTTTGAATGGAATTATCAGAGGTGTGGACTTGAGTCATATGACTTCGACTCGAGACAGACTCAAGTCATTATTTTAATGACTTATGACTTGATGTGATAAAATCTATAAGGACGTACACCTTGACTCAGACTTGAATGCCAATGACTTGTGACTTGAATCGACTTGACGACAAAAGTGGCACGACATGGACAAAAATCATTAATCATTCTTGGTTCTGGGTTTGATCTTGTACTGCTAGATGCAGCAGCACTTTGCTTATAATCAGTTTCAGTGGCACTTTCTGCTTGTTTGAGCAAATAAATGAAGCTTTAAGAAGCTTTATTTCTGGAATTTATTCATCATCAACGTCATTAAATAGAAGTTGGACAGATTACTTGATTATGACATGAAAATGTAAAGTTAAAGACTTTGACTTGACTTGGACTTCCACATCATTGACTTTGGACTTGACTTGGACTTGGTCATCTTTGACTTGGACTTGACTTGAGACTTGACTGGAAAGACTTGTGACTTGCAAAGCAGTGACTTGGTCACACCTCTGGGAATTATTTAACTAAATAAACTTTGTCATGATATTCTAATTTTATGACCAGGGCTCTCATTTATCAAACATTGCGTAGAATCCTTACTAAAACCGTACTTAAGCTCAGCAAAAAAAATGTACTTACGCCAAATAGGTTTGTGATCTATCAATCATGGAGTACGCTCAGCTGCACGCAATCTCTGCTTCATAAATCGGTGACTAACGAGAATGTTTCTCAGCTGCATTTTAGTCACATCCCACCCTCACCACGCCCACTTACTGCCATAATAGTCAATGCAAACTGCCTTGTGGATCTCATGCATATACATAAGCCGGCTATTGCAGCGCTCCGCCAACGACGATGGCGGCCGTAGATCAAGGCAGATCAAGGAAGCACAATTTCACAGAAGCAGAAGTTGAGGTACCTGTGGGTGAGGTGGAGAAATGAAAGGAAGTGCTTTTGCAAAACAAATAAGAGAAAATCCACGGAGTGGCACAGCGTTGCTGAAGCCGTCAATGTTGTGAATTCTTCAGAGAGATCTGTGGCAGATATAAAAAAAATGGTCCAAACGGGATTTAATCCCCAGACTCCCAGGTGAAAGGCATGCGCGCTAACCAGTCAGCCAAATGGAGATCTCCCCTGTACAAGTAGCCAGGGCGCATGATCAATAGGGTCACAGTGACAGGACACGCACTGTCACAGACGCTTGACATTCTGTCTCAATCTGTCCCCCTGCTGATATTCTGCATTCCGTATTCTGCGCTTCAGGCTGTGTGTGTGTGTGTGTGTGGGGGGGGGGGGGGGGGGGGGGTGTCTTGTTCTGTCTGAAAACTAAGCGTTACAAGTGATAATGCTGCAAGATTTCATTATTTTATCCTTCTCAGCAGCAGCACTGCAGGTGCTCTCTATGTCCAAAATGTGCGTAAGCCAGGTCCTTAGTCAACTTAAAGTTGCACATATTTTTCCGCTAAGTTTTCCTTCATAAATCCCAAAGTTTGCGTGGAAAGTTGCTTACGCAGTTTTCCAACCTTGTTTTGTGCGTAAGCAAGCTTGATAAATGAGGCCCCTGCTGACTAACGTGTGATTTAGATTACTTGTTTTTACACAAACAGATTATTTAAAGAAGTGGATTTCTTCCTCTTTACCACCAAAAATTAAATAAAAACAGATGTTCAGAAACTCTTCTCAGCCCTGGCAGTGACAGACAAAAGCTCTGCAGTAAAACCCTGATGACTCAAAACAACAATCCTTTTGGAAAGTGTCCAGTAGTTCCTTATAAAACGATCTGCAGGACTGAAATTGTTCAGTTCTGCCAAGACGCCAATTTCAGCATTGAGCCCAGTCAGCAGAAACTGTCTGCTGAGCTTTGGTGGCGCCTGTTAATAAAAATCTAAATACAGGCGAGCAGGAGGCCCTGATCTCCCTCTCTGTTGGGTCAGAACCTCTGCTCTGCTTAGCTCTACACAGCAGCTGTCAGCACGGAGAGCTTTTACAGCAGACTCACAGCTCAGCAGGATTTTACCTCTGACTATAAGTACTACCTGGGCTCCACCCTGAACTCTTAAACCTCATCAACGTCTCGGTTCTGCCTTCGACCCTTCTACCTTGATCAGCTTGGGAGATTCGCCAGAGGAAAGTCCAACAGATGTGCCATCTGGATTCTGCTTATTAACACACACACTCACTCTCTCTCTCTCTCTCTCTCTCTCTCTCTCTCTCTCTCTCTCTCTCTCTCTCTCTCTCTCTCTCTCTCTCTCTCTCTCTCTCTCTCTCTCTCTCTCTCTCTCTCTCTCTCTCTCTCTCTCTCTCTCTCTCTCTCTCTCTCTCACTCACTCACTCACTCACTCACTCACTCACTCACTCACTCACTCACTCACTCACTCACTCACTCACTCACTCACTCACTCACTCACTCACTCACTCACTCACTCACTCACTCACTCACTCACTCACTCACTCACTCACTCACTCACACACACACACACACACACACACAGAGTCTGCCTCCGCAAACACAGAACTGGTTAATAACGTGTGACGTATTGATTGACTTTGTGATTCAATTCAAGTTTATTTATATAGCGCCAAATCACGACAAGAGTCGTCTCAAGGCACTTCACATAATAAAACATTCCAATACAGGTCATTTTATTAAGCCAATCAGAAAAATGTTTCCTATAAAAAAGAACCGAGCAAACTGCATCGAGTCACTGACTATTGTTTATCGTTTATTTATTTAGCACATTATATACATGTTTGAAGCCATTATGCAGTGGAACGCTGGCAACAAAGCTCTGCCTGATCAACAGTATAAATGATAAATGATCCACACTTGGACTCCAAAGCGCTTTACACTACAGTGTATCATTCATCCATTCACACACATTCACACACTGATGGTGATAAACTACGATGTAGCCACAGCTGCCCTGGGGCGCACTGACTGAGGCGCCCCACTATTTAATTCAGTCATTTTTTATTCTCCCAATCGATTACTAACCAAAACCTCATGCTTTAATTTATGCAAAACATTAAATGATTTTCAGCATACCAATCTTTACAGAAAACATAAAAGCCCTAAAAAACTGCACATAAAAGATAATAAGAAACAATATTCCACCTTCCTCAGGATCCACTGATTTCCCTCTTTCCTATTCTCTCTCTCTTTCTTAACATTTTTTTATTCAAAATTGTCTATTTTTGCT